CTTACTAAGGCTCAATACTTTGGCCATCTGATGAGAAGACTCCCTGGAAAAGATCCTGGTGTTGGGAAAGTGTGAAGGCAAGAGAAGAAGGGGATGACAGAGGACGAGATGGTTGGACAGTGTCATCGAAGCTACCAACATGAATTTGACCCAACTCTGTGAGGCAGTGGAAGACAGGAGGGCCTGGCATGCACTGGTTCATGGGGTCACAAAGAGTTAGACACGACGTAACGTCTAAACAACAAACAATAACAAAAGCTTACTAAGTTTCATAGATTTCACATTCCAGGTTCCTATGCAGTATTTTTCTTTGCAGCATCAGACTTTCATTTCATTTCCAGGCGCGTCCGCAGCTGAGTGTCCTTTGACTCAACCACTTCATTAGCTCTGGAGCTATTTGTCCTCAGTAGCATGTTGGATGGCTTCTGACCTGAGGGGCTCTTCTTCCAGTGTCATATCCTTTAGCCTTTTGTTTCTGTTTATGAAAGTATCTTGGCAAAGATACTGGAGCAGCTTGCCAATTCCTGGTCCAGGTGGATCGCGTTTAGTCAGAACTCTCCACTATGACCTGCCCATCTTGGGTGTCCCTGCACGGCATACCCCATAGGTTCTCTGAATTACTCAAGCCCCTTTGCTACGACAAGGCAGCAATCCGTGAAGGGGCAGCTTTGTATTACACCATTTGTAATGGGAAAGGGGTCAGAGAATATGCCATCATCAATGATGCAAGCTTGTACACCATCATGGAAATTCTCAAGTGATATACATGAATTTTTTGGCACATCCAAATTTCTTGATGATTTTCATACAGACCATCTGCATGCTTTGTTAACAGCTTTAGTCATGCTGCTTTTGACACTTTCCCTGTACTGTATTTGTTGAATGGTAAAAATCAGGAACAAGTAAGAAGGTGATGGAGTAGTGGGGTGATTAGGAAGGCAGTTGGGCACACATGGGGGTTATAGGGCAGGTGATGGGGCTGGTGCGGGGGTCATCATGCCTGTGATTTGGGTGATTGGGCAGGTGATTGGGGGCAATTGAGCAGGCACCAGCTTTTTGCAAGCATTGTGTTTTTATTTTATTTTATCCCTGCTAGCTGGCATAGGGCTGTGTTAGCAGGAATTTTTAAAAAAACTGATGGGGCATACACACATTTGAAGTTGATTACAATGAATCAATTCCACATGCATCTCAAAATAAATGGACACCTGCCAGAGTAGCAGAAAAGCATGCTCCCTTGGCACAGTAGTTGCGTGTGCACATGCCTTTTGTGTATGCTAAAAATTAAATCCAGGTTGTTTTCAGCAGAACCCAGATTTTGTTGTCAGTTAGCTCAAACCCTTAGTTTCTCAACAATCAGCAGATTCTTGGATCTCCTCAGCCTTCCTGATGAGCTGTGAGTTCTGTATCTCTTGTAATTTAAACAGCCACTCACAATGGATTTTCTTGAAGCCAGCTTTTATTGACAAGTGATTTCTTGAGTTCATAAATTAATTTATGTAACTGATATTTTTGTTAAAGAAGTTGCTCAAGAAACTTCCTCATTCATCATTCTCATGAAACCAGTCCTGATGGATATGCTTCTTAAGTCTGAGAACTTCCATGGTAGTGGAATGTCCAGCAGTGTGGAGAGTTTTCCATTTCATCAATGCTTCTGCTTCCAACTTCCACCAAATATGCTATTTTTATTAACCTTTCAAACACAGAAGCCATGTAAAGTCCAATTAGAATGTCCTAGGATGCAAACTAAACCAAGAAAATTCACCAATCATATGTGGCTAAATAAAGCTGATATAATAACTCAGAAAATAATATTGGAAATCACATTCTAATATGTATTCAGACCAATGAAGTATGTCCTTGAGAAGGAACTAGAACAGAACTTTTGACTTTCTATACCAAACAAATTACAAAGTTACACAGGAACAAAATATAGAAACAATGCTGAACGCCTTAAACATTCC